TGGCAACAAATTGATTTATGAGTATTTTTTTTCTTTTTAGCATTAACTATTTAGCATTAAATGTGGAAACAACAACTGACATTATTTCAGCTATAATTCTTTATTCTTCCCTCGGAGGCTTAGCAGATAAGAGAGAAAAGACAATTATAGTCTTTTATAGATATAGCAAAACATATAGTTGTCACACAGGGGTTGAAAAACAAACAAACAAAAAAAAGAGCAGGATTTATTTGCAAGCAGTTTTTTTGTCAAAAAAAACGTCTCGATACTAAGGAAACAAAACCACGATAAACCAGATTCATGGTGCTAAATAAACTCTACACACTGTAAAAAAAATTATATGATCAATAAGTTGACAACATATGTTAAAATGCTTTAACTAATCAAAATAATTTATGTAATTTTCAACTCTTTAATGTTCAAATTTTTGTCTCTGGTCCATTTTTCAACTCTCAAATTTTCAATGTTATAAAAACATAGTCAGTTTAATGACATTTAAGTTGAAATGACTTATATAGCCAAGTTGATTACTTAAAATCTTTTATACAGTGTAAGTAAGATAATTAGAGTTTATTTAGCACCATGAATCTGGACACATTTGTGCCTGATAATCTTTGTGACAAACAATGTTTTTTCATGTAATGTTTTACAGAATTTTTATCTGTTTTCTACTACCTTTATAAATTAGGGCCTATATGAAAATTGATATAAAAGTAAAATAACACATAAAATGTAAAAATCTCTCTCAAAATAATATTGAGAGTCTATATCAGAGTCAGGGGTTTAAAAATCTAGATATTGCAATGCAAACATTATGCTCAATGTGTGTGCGTGTGTGCAACAACACAAGGATTTTACAGTTTTAGTTCTGCTAGTTTATTGTCACTGAATATGTGCTTTGTAATCTAATTAACTGTTTTACTATTATGTTTTCATTATCTTGTATATGTGTTATGATTACACTCTTATGGTGTAACTAAGGTTTATAGCAGGTGTTAACAGTGATTAACAACTGCAAATCAAAATGGAGTCTGGTGAGGTGCTATAAAACATTCAAGCTCATTTGATTAAGTGGAGAGAAAACACTTTCTAGAGTCAGTGTATCCTGACTCTTTTGGTTCAGTACTGTATATTCTGTGGCTATATATAAGATTTCTGCTGCTGACGTCATACAGAGTTATTTAGAATGTGTTTGGAACGTATATTAATACATACCCTTTGATCTTAATAACGTCATCCTGGCATCTCAATGGAGGTGATTGCATTAATTTGGTGTAACGACGACAGCATGCAGGAATCCTGTATATAACTGCGAAATTCTCTCCCGAGGCGAGAGCCTGTGACATAGTGATCAACACCAGGATGACATGGTGGTTATTCTCTCTAATCAAATGAGCTTGAATGGTTTATAGCACCCCACCAGACCATGGACCCCATATTTGTAGTTGTTAATCACTGTTAAAGGCACAGTATGCAAGTTTCGCCACTAGAGGTCGCTTATTCAAAGTTTCGCCACTAGAGGTCGCTTATTCAAAGTTTCGCCACTAGAGGTCGCTTATTCAAAACAGTAACAAAAGCGTAGCTTGATGACGCATGAATGAGCGTGGAATCATGGGAGTTGCCGTCTTCACATCCACAGCCGATGGAAAGCAATCTGACGGGACTCGGGCAGAAATGTGGATGAGCTAATGTATTAAAGTTCTAGTAACGTTACTGTGGTATGAAGCAGGGCGGAGCCGACAGCGGAACGAGGCCGGTGGAGTGAATGCTAATGAGAGACACCTGCGCAAAGCAGAGTCCCATGGAGGAGCTCCGGAGCTTTTATTATGCTTGTATGCCGCAGTCGGCCATACCGCTCCTTCCGTTTTGTTTCGTTTATGTTTATATTAAGATTAAAGTTATGTTTATCGCCTGCCTCCTTCTTCCCTGAACTTAAACTTTGTTACTCATACAGGTCAGTTTATTTGCCGAATTAAAATTGTGGGGTAACACAGCGCTGTTTAACCTGGTCAAAACAATCATACTAAAAATACGTTTGAGAGTGTTGAAAGTTATGTTATATAGCATTAGGCTACTGTGCGTTCGCTCAGTGGCTGGTATGAGACACTTGATGCACACTGCAGTAAGCTAGATCGATATTAAAATATCATATTAATAAAAGCTGTTGCTAAATGGCATGCAGTTCATTTTAAAATATATTGTATGGTGGAGAAAATTATTACTGTTACTACAAATAAAGCTCTTTCTTTTTGCTTTGTTAGCAACTTGACCAAATAGTGCTGTCTCTGAGGCATGGTACAAACATGTTACTCGCGGTAAATCAAGAAAACGAGATTCAAACAATAAGACTAACCGTGTTGATATAACAACAATTTGTTTTCTGTCGGTAAAGGTATCCAAACATTTGCTCACCTTTCTGATAAAACATATAATATATCAAGGTGTCTTTGGTGTTTCCATGGTTTCAGTAATTTACTGGAAATCGAGGGCAGATATGACGTCATAAACAGGCAACACAATGACACGGGCCGTTATACACTGGTTAAAATAGCTGATTTCTCTGAATTTGAACATTGTTGGAAACATTTGGGATATTTTAAGTACACAAGTCAACAAAATATGTAACATTGTTCTAGTGGTTTTTGGATATTTTAATCCAAAAATCTTACATATTGTGCCTTTAAGTGTTAACACCTGCTGTAAACCTTAGTATATGAGTGAAATAACACGTGCAAAATAATGAAGAACATAATAGTAAAATAGTTAGTTAACTTACAAAGCACATATTCAATGACAAACTAGCAGAACTAAAACCTTGTTTGTGAAAAAAACATTTAAAAAAAAATCCTGGTGTTTTTGTGTTGAAACACTTCAAAATTATGAAATTAATAACCACATTATCCATTAATGAATTTAAATGCACAGTAACAAACTCCTATTAACTTAACATTTTATACAAGATAGTTGCGTCTTAAGTAAAAAGTTGTTGCTTCCAGTTAAATAAATATGGGTATAAATACAATGTGTTATGAGTTTTGTATGTGTAGGCTTGCTATGTCTTTGCAAAACCTAAACCCTAATGAGATGTAGGGATTGATATGGCAGATGGCTAACTAACCCTTTCGTGTCCCTGACGCACTGTTTTGGTGGCGATGCTTTGCACTGGAGGTGTCCTGCATCCTTCATCTACTCAGTCAAACCGTAAGTATCATTGTAGCGTGATGTTCCACATGCATGTTTATATCATTGAGAATAACGCGGTGCAGTGATTTTAAAACATCGTATTGATGGAGGTGTAACGTTAAATAAAGATTCAAGATCGTCAGAGCCGTGATGAAAACGTAACCTTCACGACATCATCATATGTTTCAACAGACTCAGCTGTCAATAATCAGTATATCATATTTATTTAGATAATCATCATTTGCTGACATATTCCAATGCGCGAAGTTTGATGGCTGTGTAGATATAGTTGAAATCGTTGTGGAAACGGCATAAAATACAAATAAAATATACAAAAGGATTAATAGACGTCGACGGGAGGATTGTGTGCTTTCTAAGAAGAAAAAACTTGACTTGCCAACATTTGTTCGCCTTAAAGGCTATACATTGCGATGTTTACATACATACGCCTGTCGTCGTTACGCATTTCCTGGATCAGAATGTCCCGGATGTACCAATGACATAATGCTGAATTTTAGACTGAATCCTAAGCTGCTGATGCTGCATTTGTAACAAAAGAGCCATTTTAAGATCCAGAATAATAGGGAGCCATCTGAAATGTTATTATTGGTGCATAGTGACCACAAAAAGTATTTAAGTCACACTTAAAATGTATATCTTTGCACTATAACAAAACAGCTTATCAAACCAAGTTGGATTTATAGCACACACACATTTGTCAAACAAAACATTTCACTGAAGAGAAGGTTGTTAAAGGCCACGTGAAACGGAATTTTTGTTTTATTGTGACATCATTCGGAGTAAAACAGAACAGTGCAACAGTCAGGGTCTGGAAGTAAAAATCCCTTTAATATTCTCCACAGGGAAATTAATTGCAAACAATAACGTATAAACCTTTAAAGAAAGACCTAATGTGAGTAACTAGGTTGTTAATCGATGGTATGTTTTTGTTGAAGCCATCTGCCCGCATTAACTTATTTTCTAAATAATCATGTTTAACAGTGAAAAACTACATTCCCCATGATCCTGCAAATAATTTTTTACCAGAGAATCAAATGACAGAGTCAAGTGAAGCACTGCGAATGACGTAGAGCTGGTTCCACATACACTCTGGAACCAAGGCACTGTTGCACTCTATTGAAAGATAAAAAATAGAGGGTGGGATTTGATTTTAACACAAGTCCTTGCCATCTCTAGCTCGCCTTAGACTGGTGGTTGGAGGGGAGTGGCTATAGGATATTCTGCCCAGAGGGTTAAAGGGTTAGTTCACCCAAAAATGAGAATTCTGTCATCATTTACACACCCTCATGTCGTTCCAAACCTGTAAGACTTTCATTCATCTTCGGAACACAAATGAAGATCTTTTTGATGAAATCTGAGAGCTTTCTGTCTCTCCATAGACAGCTATGCAACTGACACTCTGACGCGTCAAAAAGTTCATAAAGAGATCGTAAAACTAATCCATATGAATTGAGCGGTTTAGTCCAAATTTTCTGAAGAGACTCGATCACTTTAATTTAGGCTTTTATTCACATTTAAACATTGATCAGCGAACATAAACAGAAGCTTGGCCGAACCTGCTTGACGCGCGAGAACAAACCTCATTGGTTCTTGCGGAAGCTCAAACGTGCTGCGCATTGTGCGCAACATGAGCTCTTTATTAACTTTTTGAAGCGTCAAAGTGGTAGTTGCGTAGCTGTCAATGGAGGGACAGAAAGATCTGAGATTTAATTTCATTTGTGTATCGAAGATGAACGATTTGCAATGACATGAAGGTGAGTAATTAATGACAACATTTTTTTTTTTTGTGTGTGAGCTATCCCTTTAATGGAAACCAGTTTGTTTCAGGCTTTAAATGAATGGTTAGGCCTATAGTGAAGAAAGTGTGTTTACTTTGTATTGGCATTTTTCAATTTAATTGCAAAAAGGAGCTGTTACCTGCCAACATCTGGGAGCAATCCATGGATAGATCCACACTTGCCCAACAGGTGGAGAGTGTTGAGCGAAATGTAGCATTTTTGCAGCAGGAACATCGGATCCTCCTGACCGGTCTACGGCTAGAGATACACAACCTGAAGAAACGATGCAATGGTCCGTCACTCAACCTCACTGTATAGATTCTCCATTGCATTGTTAATCTTGTGTCTGTTAACTTCCACCTCTCTGTATGTCTCTACAGAGCTGAGTTGTGACCTAAGTAAAAGACCACCAGCGAGAAGCCAAGAAGGTGAGTATAAAATATCACAAAATTCCAGCCATTCCCACATGTTCCCTCAACTCTGTGTTATTATAGATATTGAGTTGGAGGAAGAGCTGCTACAGGCACGATTACTGGAGACAGAGCAGCATTTGGCTGAGCAGGAAAGTGCGCTGGTGCAGCTTCGGGTGGAGCTACGGAAAAAGGGGGCACTTGCGAGCGCTCTGCAGGTTCGACTTCGAGATGAAGAGCGGCGCTTCCTGGATGAGCTAAAACGGCGCAGTCATAAGATCACGACGCTGAGTCGTGACCTCCGCAAGCAGACCGATGTGGCCGCTCAACTCTCTTTCCAACTCCATTCAGCACACTTTCGATTGTATCACCAGGCAGAAGACTTTGAGGAAGATGATGAAGAAGAAGATGATGATGGGGGTGCCATGCAGGTAGGAGGCACTATGGATCCGATGGATCTACTCATAATCTGACACACGAATCAGTTTCATTCTTTTACCTGTTCATAGGAATCGGAATGGACTGCAAATTCTCCGTGGACATCTCCAGTGATGGCGGAAAACACACGTCAAAGCCGAGCTTCAGGAAGGATGCGGAGATCGGAGAGAGTGAGGGAATGCGTGCCCCGTGAAAGGGTGCTTGGGCCCGAGGAGCCCCGTCCCATGCCTGACCCCGCCCTTTTCCTTTATCCTTTCAGACATAGGCTCCTCCCCTTGCACAGGTCACTTGGAGATCCCTGGAGCGAAGGCGGCCTTTCAAGGATGTCGGTAGCTCGAAAAGGTAGATTCAGGAACCGACCACTGAGGGAAGACATTGGACCAGAGACAACAGAGTTATAGAGTGTAACAGTGCCCGTCCCTTTTTTCAGCAACCTTGGTTCCAGAGGTGTTTTTCCCATTCATTTTTTTCTATAGGGATTTATCAAAAGTCTTCGTTTAGGAGTTATAATTTTAAGCCATGAACCAAACCAACCAGCTACAATGCGAATCACAACATTACAAACTTTGATTTGAAGCAAAAAAGGTTTTGAAAATCTGACAAAAAAGACAAAGGTACAAGCCTGTGTACTTCACAGCTTTAATGAGGGAAAGAACTACAATCCCATGAAGCACTACAAATAACATAATTAAAATTAAAACCAGATGGAGGAATATAAAACTTGATTTGAAGACTTTAATTATACTATATTATTGCAAAATTGTTTAAGTGTAGGGAAGCTGACTACATCATTTGTGGTCAGTGAAGCACTCTTCTCTGATTGGTCAATTTCTCTACAGAATCATGGTTAATGTAGTTTTTCCACCTGGAATTCTGCTGTTGAACACAATTAATTAAAAAAATGAGTTGAAATTTTGGACTGGTGTCTTCAACAGAAGCATAGACCATAATTAAACAACCTTGCAGCTCACAGTAGATCTGTCTTTAAAGAGTTATTATTCAAAATACATTCCCCTATGGAGAAAATGAATGGGATTTTTTCTTCCGGAACATATAAAGGTTGGATATGAAGATTTTGGAAAATTAGTCTTCATTGTAAAATCCAGAACACTCTAAAACTTTCCATTCAGTAATTATTTGTGTCAATAAACTGAATTATTCTGGTCACATTAGACACACTTTAAAAGAACAGGGAGGGCAGATGAGGTAAACTGGTGTATTATATTGCTTTTGTGTTTTTGGTATCTCTTTGGTATCTTATTCAGAGCAGCACTATGACAGGTATGAATGTGAGGGATAGACTTACCATGATTTCAATGGCATCCGCTGTAAAAAGCTCCTATATCACTTATATTTTTCCATAGTTCATGTTGTCGAGAGTTCTTTTGTTTACTGAAATTTCTGGTAAAGATATTTTTGCAGTGTTTTGTCAGCAGCAAAATCCAAAAACACTTTAACACTTAAAATTAAGTACAACCTATATCTATCCCTTACAGCCTCGCTTTCATTCACGTAATACATCAAAGATGGCGTGCCGTGGGTCAGTTGGTAAAGAGCTTTATGATGTAATGAACATAATATGAAGTGAATCATGCTTTATTTATTAAATAATAAAAAAATGTTCGTATTGGTGTTATTTTGTTCAGTTTGTCCTATTTATAAATATATATGCTTATACATTATGTTTATAACGTTTTCTGAAAGTTGGGACAACAACAAAAAAGGCTACAAAACTGAATTTTGTTTTTAACAAGGAATCTTACAGTGCGAACAAAATAATCACATTATCATACATGTATTAAAAACAGCAGCAGTCATGTTGTTTTTCTGGTGCTGTATTATAGAAACTTGTAAGTCTTGACTTGATTTAAAAAAAGTTCCATTTTCTAAGTGATATTCCATTGTTAAACAGATATAGGAATTATATAAAAATCAATGATAATTAATTTTAAAAATTAATTTCTTTACAGTTTGTTACAGAAATGACATGTCAAGGTTGTGACAGATTGTATAAGCACAATTACTTTAAATGATAAAAATGTATTAAACTCAACAGAGTCTGTGTGATGTTGTTGAACTATGGAAAGAAAGAAAGAGGGTCTTCAGGATCAAAACTGGCTTTGATATTGTCTGATTGCCTGATTTTATATAGAGTAGTAATAATGTGTCTTTTAAATATACATAGTTATATATTTTTTCTAAGTAGGAATATATTAGGGCTAATATATATTTTAATTTATGAAGTATTAGTTATGGTCTGAGAACAAGTGATTTTATAGGGCTAGTGAGTGATAATGTCATAATTTTGATCAAATAAAGAGAAAATAAGATTAAATGGTGGACATTTGAGTGAAGAACAACCTTGATCATTCAATTGAGCTATTTTCAACAAGGGAAAGTAACCTGTGGCACTTTGTGTCTATCTATTAGAAATGTCACCTAGCTTAGTTCTGTGAAATGTTATGATTCCTCCAAATTGCAGGGTAACTATTTAAACAGTTTTTAAGACCTTTGTAAGACGTTAAAAAAATAAAACTAATACCATATGGGCGGGGGACCCTGAATACAAATACACCTATATTAATAAGAAATTAAAAAGGATAGTTTAGTGAAACTTAGTAGCGTGTGCGCATGCGCATCAAGTAAAGGTGTGATTCTAACCGCAAAAATGCTTGCATTGGAGAAGACAGATAAGAAGACGGTCGACAGGCTTCCAACACAATGACGCTTAGGCTACTTCTTCTCTTCGTTTAGTATTCGTAAGGTGCTCTAGTCCTTCCACTTCTCCGACTATTGTAGCTTTTCAAAGCAGGTCGTCCTGCACATTCCGCCGGTAGGCTACTGCAGCACTCTGTCATAGCAGCAAACGCTGGGACAGCAGAGACCGAGAAACGCACTTCGGAAGCACGCAGGGAATATAGAAGACTTCTGAGCGAATGTATGCATTGGGATGGATTCAGGAAGTCATGTCATGTGCTTTTTTCTTCTTTAGAGAAACTGAAGAAGTGAGTTACGATTTATCTGGAAGAGGAATGGGATGCAGGGAACTCCATCGAGACTCCTCCCCCCGAGAATGATGTGTGTATGGGGAGATGAAGGGCAGAGAAATGACACTACATTGTGTTGCGTTTTGTTGGAGAGAGGGACATCCCTGCATGGAGCAAGCCGTTCTGCTTTCCTGTGGTTCTATGGAGATTTATGAGACAACAGGCACATTTATGAAGGAAATGAACTGTGAGAAGACGCCTGCATGTGTAATATGACTTGCATTAGTTTCAAATATAGCCTACAGAAAAAATGAAATAAATAAAAAATCCATATTATTGTAATCTATGCAATGTTTCTGGTCTTCTACGGTTATATACATGAATATATAGCAGATACAACTATCCAGTCAATCAATTAATCTATGTATAAATCATCCTTTTGATCATTTCTAGCATGCAAAATATACAATGTCTTTACTATCTTTACTAGATCCAGCTAGTTTACTAGATTTCAGCTATTGTAGAGATGCGCAGGCCAGATGCCAGACTTGGTAATTGGGTATGTCAACTGTCTGTCAGGCTTGTCTTACAGATTTACCAACAAAGCACTGTTTTTTTCTAGCTGCCAAGGTCCTTTTAAAATCAAATTAGCTCTTATTAGCTGACTCACAGTGGGCTTTGTTTGTCCAGTATTACAGTTCTTGCTCTTTGGTAATGAGATGGACAACATGGGGAACATATTTAGTTGTTGCCGCAAGGTGACTGAGATTATTAACGCCAAGGGAGTCGGGCGTCAGACTGAGGAGCTGTCTCTGCTGCAATCCCAGGAAAATAGCGATATAGAAAGTCTGTCTCCTTCAAGAACTTCAGCTGATCTGCTGGCATCTCCTGTTCTGGACCAAGATCATCTCCTATTCCCGGATATCGTGCTTAGCAGCAACCTTCGGGTCAGGGGGCAAGAACAAGATGCCAGAAGAGACGATGGAGTTGATGAAAGCAATCTGCGAAATGGAGGAGAGAAGAATAGAGAGCTGTTGGGGCCGCCAAGCACAAACATTTCAGGCACACATCAATTATGCTCTATAGAGGATGAATGGCCCCTTCTGTCATCCCTATACAAAATACCTGCAGCTCAAAACCGAATATGCACTCACGGAAGTGGAGCAGACACTTCTCTCCTTGGTCATGGGACGGGGCTATTTGCAAATAGTCAAACTTCACTTTCTGGTCCAGCTAGCATTCCTTTGCTTGCTGCATCTTCTCTAGATGCCTCAAAAAGTGACATTGACATCAGTCAGAGAGAAGATGGTTTGACTCAAACAGAGCAGTACATCAGACGCGAGGAATCTGTGATGCACACAGAGGAGAAACAAGATGAGAAGCTATTGAATGAACATTGTCCAAACAGTGCAGCACAAACACATCTGGACGCGATGAAGATGCAACATGCGTATGGCATTACAACTGAAGATCCTTTGCTTCTAAAGACGCGAAGGGAAGCACAAGCCTTGGAACTCGTAGCACAACCGGATGACCTTGAAGACCAAAATGCACTGGAAAAACCAGACTCGGAGCAACACGCACAGACTTCTGAGACGCTAGAGATGGATATTACGACAAGAGGGCATGCTAATGAGAAAGCTACTACAACTGCAGAGCTTCTACTTTGTGTGGAGAAGAAAATATCTCATGTAGAGCAACCAGGCATTTCAGAGATTAGCTTTGGGCTGGTGGAGGATGAGTTAGGGGAGATGGAGCAAAGCCTGTCCCAGGATTTGATTTGGAAAAAGACAGAAGTAGAACAGATGCAGTGGGACCTGGAAGTGCTAAAGCAGAGCACGGGGTTATCACTGCAGGACTCTGAGCAGAAAACACTCGCTGTGACACAGGTAGAACAAAAAGAGGATCAGGCTGAACGCTTCACGCTTTTTGTGGTTGATAAACTGTTTCTGGCCACTCCGAACTTTAAAGGTGTGTATTCTGTCTAGGAATGCACAATATACTGGTACCACACTGATTTTTTTTTATTGGTATCATATATTTAATTGTGCATGCCCCACTTTCACTTACTTAAGTTTAATCTTTATTAACTCTAGTAATTAAATAATGAATTTAATGATGCCTGAATTCACTTGCAGCATTTAAAACATTTTAGTTTATTTATTTAGACAAAATAGCATACAATTTTAATATCGGTCAGACATAACATGAAAATAATTATAGACTATATAATATTTTGAAATAAATTAAATGTAACCGAATAATTAACGGCAGTACAGCCCCTAATACTGTGAGGTATTTGTGTTGTAGTGCCGATAAAAATTTGTGAATGTTTCTAACTTTGTACCTTGTAGGTAATCCACTTTATATTTATATTCTTGTATTTTCCACCCAGCACCCAGCCCTGACACCATAACCGGTGAGCATGTGCCAGACACCCCAGCAGACAGTATGACAGAACAGGTTAAGGACGACTGCAAAAAACAAGAGCTTCCTGCTGTTCCTGACATGGACCCATCTGAGGATGCAGGATTCACAGTGAAGATCCAAGCTCCAGGAACAGAACCCACTGACTTCCAGGTCCGTCTGTCTGTCTATTTAATGTCTGTCTGTGTATTTGTCCATCCATCAGATCTATCTATCTATCTATCTATCTATCTATCTATCTATCTATCTATCTATCTATCTATCTATCTATCTATCTATCTATCTATCTATCTATCTATCTATCTATCTATCTGTCTGTCTGTCTGTCTGTCTGTCTGTCCTGTCTGTCTAATATCTATCTATCTATCTATCTATCTATCTATCTATCTATCTATCTATCTATCTATCTATCTATCTATCTATCTATCTATCTATCTATCTATTTGTTTAAACTATCTGTTTGTCTGTGTAATATCTGTCTATCTAACTGTCTGTCAAATATATATATCTGTCTGTCTGTCTAATAACTGTCTATCTCTATCTATCTGTCTGTCTTTCTAATATCTATCTATCTATGTCTAATATCTGTCTATCTCTATCTATCTGTCTATATCTATCTCTACCTATCTGTCTGTCTAATATCTATCTATCTATCTATCTGTCTATATATCTGTCTATCTCTCTGTCTGTCTATATCTATCTGTCTGTCTGTCTAATATCTGTCTATCTATCTAACTGTCTGACTAATATCTATCTATCAATCTATCTGTCTGTCTAATAACTGTCTATCTCTATCTATCTGCCTGTCTATCTATCTATCTATCTATCTATCTATCTATCTATCTATCTATCTATCTATCTATCTATCTATCTATCTATCTATCTATCTATCTATCTATCTATCTATCTATCTGTCTGTCTGTCTGTCTATCTGTCTAATATCTATCTATCTATTCTATCTGTCTTTATTGCACTCAAGGTGTCACCTTTAGCGATGGTGCAAGAAATTAAGCAAGTGTTGATGGACCGGGAGGAGACCTGTCGGCGTACCTGCTTCTCCCTGCAGCTGAATGGAGTCACTCTTGACAACTTTACCCACCTTACATCCATTCCAGGCCTTCAGGAGGGCTCCGTTCTGAGGGTTGTCGAGGGTAAGCCCCGAAAATTTACCGCACTAAATCACATCGTTATAGTTGATCAATTAAACTTTCACTGGAAACTTCACCTAATAGTAAACTGGTTGAAATCTTACATTTTAGACATACAAGTAACAAATAGTCTTAAATCTGTCTTCCCGCTCCCCTTTTAATTATGTCAAAGAGCCATACAATGTTCGAGAAGTGCGTATCCATTTACGCCACATCAGAGACCTTTTAAAGAGCCTAGACCTTACTGATGGCTACAATGGAGTGGAGGGCAGCTCACCGTCATTTCTCAGCTGTGTCACAGAAGATCGTATGGAAGGTAAGAAACCAGTCTTAGATAAAATACACTTAGGTAGGATAGCAGGCTTAGAAGTTAAGATAAGATAACCTTATACAGTAGACCTCATGAGACCTGTAAATAATACACAATGAATTTAAATCCTAGAGAGCAGCAAACCTAAGCGAATAGGTGACGGGTTGAAACGCATCAGCTTCAGTCCTCCAAATCACATTCTTCCAGGCTCTAAGGAGTGTCTGCTGGTACCTCTGCAACCTCATGCAGATTTTGGGAAGGTAGGAATTGAGGAACTTTGACAGTATGGCATTAAAAATGTGCTAGATGAAGATAGCACATGATAATATTTAATTGTCTGTCTTTTACACAGTCCTTAGAGTGCTTGAAGGTTCTGTCCATGAGTAGCTGGAATCCTCCTCCTGGAAACAGAAAGATGCATGGAGACCTCATGTATCTCAATGTGGTGACCATGGAAGACAGACACTTCAGTATAACAGCATCAACTCGTGGGTTCTACGTAAATCAGTGAGTTACAATGTACAGTTGCCCTTCAGATTGTCCTTGCCCTACTAGAAAAACAAATACATCTATTTTTTTTTTTTCACTTAGATCCACGACTTACAGCTTTAATCCAAAGCCAGCCAATCCTAGTGCCCTCAGTCATGCTCTGCTGGATCTCCTGGGTCATATCAGTCCAGTTTTTAAGAAGAACTTCAGTGCCTTGCTGAAAAGGAGGTATGACAGTTTTCAGAACAAGTGAAAAGAGTACAACAAACTGTGCTAAAGTATGGGTACTGTGCCAATATTTTACTCAAAATATCTAAGTAAAATTGTTTTTAAAAAATGTGTGTGTGTGTCCCAAGCCATGTAATGGCCCATAGAATCACCAAGAGCCAGATACAACTGAAATGGTTAATGAAATATATACTGTTTTTATAAAGTATTTGTGCATCATAGTGGTTTACAATGTAAAGTATTTTTGATATGCTTTGTCAATTTAGTCAGTTTAATAGATTTTGAAAATACAAAATAAATATTAATATAAAATAAATATTTTAAAGACATTTTCAATATAAATATAATTCAATAATAAGTAAATCAAAATAAATCAAAAGTTTTAACTGTAAAACGGTAAAACATTACTTTATCACAGCAGTGAGAATATGAGAATCTAATGATAATCATAAGTTGGAATAAATAAATAAATAATTTTAAAATATGCAATGTCAATATGCAAAAAGTGAAATAGAATCTGAAACATGTTCTTGACAGGTTTGTGACATTTACCCACACAGTTTGTTTATATTCAATTATTTCCGTAGTATAATTATGAAATTAATAGTCAAAATATCTAGCTAAAATATTGAAGTTGAAGTTACCATATGTAATTGTACTGATTAAAGTAACTTTGGAGATACAGAGATACAGCAATTTCACATTTAGTCTGTTTTAAATAATAAAACATAAACTTAACTTTAACTTTTTTAATAAACTTTTAAATCTTGTTTACCTGCAAAATATGTTCGTTAGTTGTCTAAATAAAAATGAAAATACAAAATATGATAGTTTTTCTTGTAAATGTAATAGAGTATGTAGAAACTACTCAACTTCTCTCTTTTTTTAGAGGGTCCACACACCCCTTTGAAAGGATTGCCACACCGTTCCAGGTGTTTAGCTGGACAGCTCCAGCTCTTGACCATACAATGGACTGTGTTCGAGCGGAGGATGTCATCTCCTTCCGCCTGGGTTATGAAGAACATGTGCCTGTTCAGGTAAACATGTTGAAAGTCAGCGCAAAAGCAAGTTACACAAGTAGGTTTTCACTCATTCCTCTGTGTTGAACAAAGGCCCGGGACTGGAATGAAGAACTTCAGGCCACAAGAGAGCTTCCGAGAAAAAACGTGACTGATCGTCTGATGAGGGACAGAGCGGTTTTTAAGGTATCTTCACCACTCATCATATGTGTTCAACGTAGAACCAAAACGGGCTTTTACAGTTCCACAAAGTACTTTTTGGCCCTGTTTACACCTGGTATTAAGATGCGTTTTGGTTGATCAGATCACAAGGGGACATCATCTCCGGTCACATTCATATGTAAATTGTGCAAGCTTATTTTGTCCAATAGATCGAAAGATCTGAAAAACTACATGTACTTATACCCTCCCCTCAAAGAAATCAGGACAGAAGTGGTTGAAAGTGGACAAAAGAGACCAAAACACCAGGTGTGAACAGGTATGTGTCTTCCTCATCTACTTGTGATCCGATCGACCACAACGCATCTTAATACCAGGTGTAAACAGGGCCTTTGTTCTCTAGAAACCAAATCTGATCTAAAATGTAACATCAGGAACATTTACATAGGCTGTTTCTAATACTGACATTTTACTGACTTTATCAGGCTAACAGTGATTTTGTCAGCATTGCCACTCGAGGAGCCATGGCAGTGGTAGATGGTAACGTGATGCCCATCAACCCTAGTGAAGAACCACGACAGCAGATGTTCATCTGGAACAATATTTTCTTCAGTTTAGGCTTTGATGTGCAGGACCAATACAGAGATCTGGGAGGGGAGGCTGCGGCCCATGCCGCCCCAGTTCTTGACCTGAACGGTGTGAGGGCTTATTGGGCAGTGGATCAAGAAGAACTCTACCTGATTGGCACTGTAGTGATCGATTACCGCGGCTACCGCGTCACTGCCCAAACTATCGTGCCGGGAATTCTTGACCGTGACCAAGCACAGAGTGTTGTCTATGGCTCCACTGACTTTGGCAAGACCGTTGTGTCCGATGACAGGTAAAAGCATCATTTTTTAAGACCTGTTCACGCCAATGACGATACCTATAATGATAACGATAACTATAAAGTTTTAATAATCGTTCTAATTCTATGAGAATAGGGCAGTTCATAACTATAATGATAACGACACAGATAACTATTTTTTTCCAGTTGATGAACGATAAAAACATTGGCAGCCAATCACAATCCATCTTGCTTTAAAGAGCTTGAGCATTTAAAGCGGTAGACGACAGAACTGCAGCACGCGGTTATTATCATGTGTTGGTGTGGACACTAATATGGTTATCGTTACAGGTATCTTCATGGTTCTTGGTGTGAATCGGCCTTTAGGCTGAAGAATGTGTCAGAAATTACATAAACAATGTATTTGAATTCGTAACCGCACACATTTCAAACTCTTTGAAGGTATCTGGAGCTGCTTGACAAACCCAGTAAGAAGCTGCGAGTGCAGCGCCACCTAGTGCTAAACAAAGATGATACAGCAGTAGAGTTGTGCTCCTCGGTGGAGCACAAGGGCATTGTGGGTAATGATGGTCGGCACTACATACTGGATTTACTTTTTACCTTCCCACCCGACCTCAACTTTCTTCCTGTGGAAGGAGAGGATTTAAGTCCTGTGTGTAAACAACTGGGCTTCCCAAGGCTACATCCTCATCGTCTAGTCTGCCTGAGACAGGAACTCACTGACGCCTTTGTGGAGCACCGGTAATCATATTTACCCGTCTTATGATTAATGCACGGGTGAACCTGTCAAAAATGTCATATTTCACCCCAAAATCAAAAAAAAAAAAAGTTGAAAGAAATATTTTATCAACAGTTAAGAATGAAGCCTATGTTAAGATAATAAATACTTTTTATTATCTTAAATAATAATTCATTTCCATATTACTTTACAGATTTCTACCTCAATTCTCCTTTAATAATATGGAAGGATTTTGCTGATGCTTTCAAATAATTATTTTTTAAAATAATTATTTAAAAACAATGTTATATATCTCTCGTGTGTGTGTAGTCCGAGCCAGTGTTGTTTGTTTTGTGTTTTAACTTGAAAAATCCTTTAAAATAAAGTATACAAAAATAAATAATAATATAATAAATATAATATTCAATACAAAAAATTTAAGTATTTTTGCTTTAATACAGTAAAAGATTATCTCAGTAATGTGAATCTAATTAGAACCATAATTGAGAATATCATATTAATAAATAAAAATAAATATAAACTTCAAATAAACTTAAAATGATAACATCCTGCCACATTACAGTACTGAGAATTTTGCTGAATTTTCATGAAAACAAGATGCAAAATCTTAATGGTCCTGAATACGGGCATTTGGTGAAATATGATTCTAGGCTTGGTCTTGCCAGTCTTCCTGAAAATATTGAATTCATATTGATTTTTTTGTGTGTTTTTATTATAATTAAGTGTAAATATTTAGTTTAACAGGAAACATTCTATTATGAAGATAATTTTTTGGGGGTACAGTGATTACAACAGTAAAAATAAATGAAATGCACAGCATGAAAAAAGCTCTACATCATGATGCAAATATTAACCTTGCTGTGAGGTTTTGAGCTAAACGATCTTTTTATATGAATGCCACCAGATACCAGATGTTAATGGAAACTGTCTCTCAAAGTACTGAGCATGACAGAGAAATCAAAGATGTTGGCAAATCTGCACTAAAGAGTGATCCAACTACCACGCCTCAGCTATCCTCAACTTCGGTCACACTCCCAGACCAGGATTCAGAGCACCTTTCCCTAAAAACTGTGCCTGTGAATAACACCCAGCAGGGTTCTTCAATAAAGCATATCTTCTCCTCCCTCAGGAAAACTTTTGACATACATTTCAACCCCAACATCTTCTGTGCAGGTGTGTTATTAGCTTTTTGAACCGGTTCTGTTTTTACCTTGCAGCTCTTTTGGCTGTACACATGAGCAGCAGACAATATTAGAAATATGTGTATGGATAAATATGAACATTGCATTACTAATATTTTTGTTCTTTATCAGGTGTTCGTTTCCCCAAGGAAAGTGCAGAAGATATCCAGAAACAGAAACAGCAGTTAAAGGATGCTGCAGTCTTCCTCATTTCCAATCAAATCCCTGCATTTGTAAGTTGCTTTTTAGGGATGTGCGATTAATCGTAATTGATTTTCCAACAATTATGAAAACAACTAAATCGAGGTAAACCGATTATCGTGCCGCTACCGCATTCCGTCCAGCGCACCTTCCTTTCCTTCACAGCGGTGTACTTTCATTCCTCCCTGAAAGCCCAAACGTAACATCCAAACAGCCAAATAAGAGAGTATTGTAAAATACAGTCTACTGTTGCTAAACTGCAGGACGTGTTTGATATTAAACAGTGTTATCAAAAGCGCATTAAGCCACAAAAGAGACACTGTTCCCATTTTGGATCCGTGTATTAGCTCTTAAAGTGACAGCAGCCTAATATACCTGCTGCTGTCTGTCATTAATGATAATCAAACAACTAATGACAAGCGGAAATCAGTTTGAATCTTGACTGAATAACTTAACTAGCTTTAATAAGGATTAATCTATATTGAATGTGTACAGTAAGACTATGCAATGTTATTTTACATTTGGTTATTCAATTTATTTTGCAGGCTATTGATTATCTGAATGCGAGTACATCTTCCTGAAAAACTTAAAACACTGTTTATTTAGTACTGATAATTGTGAAATTCAACTGATATTTAAAATAACTAATATCGTGAAATAAGAATTGGATCATATCGCCCACCAATAATCGTGTTAAATAATTGTGATTTCAATATTGACCAAAAATATTTGTGATTATGATTTTTGCCATAATCAAGCAGCCCTATTGCTTTTTATTAGGATTGGAAGATATAGATAAGGATATAAAATTGAATAAGGAGATAAAACAGATTATCCCTGATGTCTGTCCTTGTGTAACCCCGAGCAGAATGGGAAAAAATCACATCTTTAACTGTGTGTTTGTAGATGAAGAGTTGCCTTGATCACACATCAATGCCAATAGACGGCGTCACACTAACTGAGGCTCTGCATCGGCACGGCATCAACATCCGCTACCTGGGCGCTGTGCTGGAGAATATTCAGAAGATACCCCAGAAAGAAAGGCTTGATCATGTCTATGTACGTGTGTATTTTACTCATGCCTGTCACGTCTGTTTTCTGTTGGTTCCTTGGATTTTTAGTTTGTCTTTCTGTGGCGGCGTCCGAAAACGAAGGCAGCGTTTGTGCATGAAGGCACCTCACAAAGCTGATTTCAGACAGACTTCTTAAAATTGTACCACTAGACTAACTCATTTTAATCTGAAGAGAACTAATAAGATGTTAAAAAGAAAAACGTGTGTATGACGCCCATTATACAATGATTATATTGGAAAAAGGATCTCAATTCTCTTTCAGAGAATTGCACTCTGTGAGCTGATCACCAGATGTGCAAAACACCTGTTTAAGACATATCTTTTGGTGAGTGTCCAGAAATTGCTTATGGTATTTATGATGCTCAGTGGGATATCACAAATATAATGCTGTATATTATGAAACTTTTGCCAAAACTTGTTCTTGTATCCTTAATCCTCAGGCAGTGGAACCATCTGCCCTGTCTGCCTCCGTCAGCCATTTCCTCAACTGCTTCCTGAGCTCTTTTGCCGATGCCGGAGTCATTCAGCAAAACGACAAGTTAGCTTCTAGACGCAGGAGTCGGAAAAGGCGGAGTCGTGCATCTGTGGGCGGCACCGTGACTGTCTGGGCCAACCTCACTCCCAGTGACCTTTGGGTGGCCATCAAAACTGAGGCCCAGGATTACTACCATTACAGCCTGCCCTGGTGAGTGACCAGTTCTCTGAACACAAATAGATGTTGTGCTGTGATTTGATATGAGTGGGATCTCATCTCCTTCTGGCAGTGGAAGTGTGGAGGAGGCCGTGGACAAATGCAGGCTGCAGAGAAACACCCTGCTCAGAGAGATCGCCATCAAAACTGGCATTCAGGTATTTCAGACTGGACTTAACAAAAAGATTTAACAAGATTAGTGCTTTTTTCTTACTCCGATAACTACCCCATGTCTATCTCTCCTTCAGATTCTTTTAAGAGAGTATCACTTTGATTCTGAGCACAGAACTGTGTTCACTGAAGAGGACATCCTTAACATTTTCCCCGTAGTAAAGCACATCAGTCCCAGGGCCAACGATGCTCTTTATCTCTTGCGTTGTGGTCAGTCTCAGGTCCAGAAAGGTGAGCATTCAAAGTAGCTCTCAATCTGGGGACTTTATCTGGCTGAAATAAATAAATTATATATATATATATATATATATATATATATATATATATATATATATATATATATATATAAAAATAGATAGATAGATAGATAGATAGATAGATAGATAGATAGATAGATAGATAGATAGATAGATAGATAGATAGAATATTATTTTATTTAGTATTTTTATTTTATTTTTAACATTGGAATGTATTAGCAAAAATCTAAATAAAAGTATTTATTATTATTATTATTATTATTAATAATAATAATAAACTATTTTTATCGAGAGCCTTTAAAGGTAACTCTAAGGCACTTTAAAAATAATTATAATAATAAAAAAACACAAGAACAATTGATATACATAAGCATGAAAACTGTTTTTTTAGGATTATTTGGTGAATCAAAATTGCAAAGGAAGCATTTATTTGAAATACAATTTTTTTGTGAAAAAAACCCCCACTTTTGATCAATTTAATGCATTCTTGTGGAATAAATGTAATAATTTCTTTAAAAAAACAAACAAAAAGAAGTCTTACTGACCCCAAACTTTTGAACGGTAGTGTATTTCAAACAATCTTTAGTCTTTGATATGCATTTGTGCGTCACTAGGCTGTCTGAAAGAGGGCTGTGAGTTAATAAGCCAGGCTCTGGGTCTCTTCACTAATGTCTACGGGGCTCTGCATCAGGACGTCTGCGTATGTCTGAGGCTATTGGGACGCATACACTACATCCTCGGAGACTATGCTGAGGTATCACATGCTCTAAAATGACATATGATAAAATAAAGAACTCATAACCCAAATAAATAGTTTTTAAAAATGACATTTTGAACTGAAATTTGTATTTTATGCTGTCAGGCCCTTAGTCACCAGCAGAGGGCTGTGCTGATCAGTGAAAGAGTCCTGGGAATTGAGCATCCCAACACTATACAGGAATATGTAAGTAATCATCTTTATGTAAATTAAAAGTATGGTTTACTGTAGTATTATACAGTTATGCTGGTGTCAATATACGAAAGTGACAAACAAAGTTGTTTCCTCTTTATGTAGAAGCACCTTGGTCTTTATTGCTTTGCTGGAGGGCAGCCAGTGACAGCTCTGCGATTATTATACCGTGCCCGATACCTGATGCTCCTGGTGTGTGGAGAAGACCATCCTGAGATGACTTTACTGGATGTGAGTTATAATCATAGCAATGTGATAATAATGAATAACAGGGACATTGAAAACAAACCAAATATGTCAACTAGTGGCCTGCAGTTTGACATGCTGTACTCAAGCTTCAACTATTTTAAACAACATTTTTATAATTCTTGTATATTTCCCCATATTAATCAAGAGATGTATATTAATTTATACATTTGATTGTGTTATTTTATGTTGTGTACATCTGCTGAAAGATATATTTTTTAATCATACACAGATTTATATATACTATGTATGTATATATAAGATTTCTTCAAGGTCTTTAAAAAGAAGTCTCATGCTCACCAAGGTTACAAAGATGAATAAATACTGTAACAAATGTTTTGTTCAATCTTAGTTCATGTTAGTTAATACATTAACTAATTAAACTTTATTGTAAAATGTTACCATTATTTTTATTTCAGTAAATGTAATTTATTCCTGTGATATATATATATATATATACACATACACAGTGTACACACACACTATTGTTCAAAATATTTTTTAAAGAAATTAATACTTTGATTCAGCAAGGGTGTGTTTAATTGACCAAACGCAACAGTAAAGACATGGTTTTACAAAAGGTTTCTATTTTAAATCAGTTCTGTTATTTTGTACGTTCTATTCATCAAGGAATGCTGAAAAAATGTATCACAGTTTCCACAAAAGCTTTAAGCAGCACAACAGTTTTCCACATTAATATTAAGAAGAAATGTTTCACCAAATTAGCATATTATAATGATTTCTGAAGAATCATGTGACACTGAAGACTGGAGTAATGATTCTGACAATTCAGGAATCACAGGAATAAATTAAATTTTTAGATATTGTAACAGAAAACAGTTATTTTAAATTGTAAAAGTATTTCACAATATTACTCTTTTTTTTACTGTATTTTGATCAAGTAAATGGTGAGCATATGAGACTTCTTTCAAAAACATAAAAAAAATCTTACCATGTTATTTGCATCTCCCCCAATACTGATGATAATAAGTAATGCTCATGAATATCTTTGCAAATGTGTAAGTACTAAATGCACAAAATAGTTTTAAAGCACCTTTAACCTAAGCATGCTTTGCGTTCATGTCCTGTACAGAGTAAAATAGGCCTTGTGCTTCATAGTATGATGGCCTGTGATCTTGCCCTGAAGTTCCTGGAGAACGCCCTTGCCCTGACCTCCAAATATCAGGGACCCTCATCTCTCAAACTGGCACAAAGGTGAAGGGTGAACAGAAACGCAAACAAGCCACTTTGTTGTGGATACAGTACTCATATGTTCTGAACCTAAAGAAAACATAAATGGAAAAAGTGTTTTTTGATCCTGTCCTTCTCTACAGTCATCACTTATTGGCAAAGGTGCATGAAAGCAAAGGAGATTTCCGTGCTGCACTGAGGCATGAAAAGGAGCGTTACGGCATATACAGGAAGCAGGTGAATGGTTACGAGCCCATACAAAATGAGCAGATTTGTTTTGCCTTGAAGCTAGCTCAGATTTTAATAAATGCTGTTTTTAATAGGTGGGAGAAGCACATGAGAAGACCCAAGAGAGTTCAGAGTACCTAAAGCATCTGACACATCAGGCAGTGATTCTACAGAAAACTATGAACTGGATCTACAAGACTGGATCAGACACCAATATTTCCCGCCTCAATGTTAGTACTGTACATGTCTCAGTTGATATTGTTGTGTTATAATGATGAATTAATTGCACTGTTCCCTCATTTAGCTGAACTCTCCAAGTCGTGTCTGGATAGTGGAGCAGCTAAATCTTGTCACTGGGATTGTCCTTATTCCTCTTAGGTAAGAAAAATAACCTTTACAAGTCAGTAAGATCTGAAAGTGTACTGGGAACTTTTCAATCGCTTTTTGATTGCAATGTAATTATAACATAAATATGCGTTAACGGGCAGTTTTAATTATCCTTCCCTCGGGATAATTTGACTCGAAACTCATTTAAAAAAAAAAAAAAAAGTTTTATTAAATTGAGTGTTCATCAGAGTGGTCCAAGACCTTAGGACTTTTGTCGCATTTGAACCACAAATACTCAAAAAAATATGTGGTTGTAATAAAAAAAAAGTAACAAATCATTCCCTCGCTCGCGGGTCAATTTGACCCCCTTAGGAATGAATGGAATGCGAGGAATGCTTCAGTATACATAGAAACTAAAAATGCTAAAACTTTACCAAAAAATTATTTTATAATGTTTACATGTGTATCTGAATGCGTACTGAAGAGATAATCTCGAAAACTGACTTTAGGACCCAGCAGAAGAGTGCATTTGCTCCATATAGGTCATAAGGTCACAAGGCTATAAGGCCATCTAGTGGCTAGAGTCATGAAAATCATGTTGTTATTTTTTCCCCCACAAGAGCTCGGCAGAGACACCCAAATTGCCCCAGAGTGAGATATTTTGAGCTGGTTATTGTATTGGTGAGTTATTTTGAATTTAAGTAGAAAACATTTGCTTGAATAATATTATGTATTGATAAAATCTAGTAATTGAAAGGTATGTCAAATAAAAAATTAGAAAGAAAAATTTGTATTTATTTTTTTATAAAAATGAAATGATATAAGCTTTCTGGACAAAAACAAAAGTATAACTTTATGACTTCGTGTCATTTTGACCCACGAGGGAAGGATTTGTTACAGGGTGTGAGGGAGGGTTGAAAAATATGTATTTCACTAATTTAACAGATTTAAACGTCTTACTTTTTGTTATGTAAAAGTCATGTCTTCAAACTTTTACATGCCTTCATTTATTTTTAACCCCTTTACTGTCACCCTCCTTTTTGAGCATAGATGTGAAAATGCACTCTCCAAACTTAAATGGTTGTAATTCATGAATGCTTTGGAAGACGGACCTAAAATGAAAGTGTAAATAAGTGATAGAACTTGAAGTTTACTGTAAAACAAGTAGTATTTTATACAAAATATATATTTTACAAAAGACTTTTTACTATAAAATTGCTTTAAAATCAAAGCCATATGTCTAGCCAAGTTGTGTTCCAAATTTGAAGTTGATATCACAAAAATGAAAGTTCCTATGCGATTTTGTTTGGGCGCTGTACCAAAAATAGCCACCGGGTGTCTCCCACATTCCATTGAATTATTTATTATGCGTTCTCCTGTAACACATTAATACATTTCTATCACAGTATCACTTATATCACAAAATAGTCACCAAATATCGAACATTGAGTCTCATTCCTTTCTGACGATATGCGATTTTGTCAAGATTAGAAAAAATATTCAAAATAAAATTTTGTAATATGAAACATGACACCATCCACTAGGCGGAGGAGGCCGCTAAAAAAAAATTAAAGAACAGTTTCCATGGTAACGCAGTGTCCGATTTATATTAGTATATTAGAATGATTTCTGAAGGATCACGTGACACTGAAGTCTTCAAAAAAAATTATGCTGAAAATTCAGCTTTGCGTCACAGGAACAAATTACGTTTTAAAATATATTACTGTTTTACTGTTTTTAATCAAATAAAATGTTTCAAAAACCCATAAAAAATCATATCAACCTCAAACTTCGGAACACTTTTCCTTTTGTTATATGGTCACATTAAAAAAAGTCTTCAAAAATGTTTTCATGTCTTCACTGATTTTTGCTACTATATTTTGCAAAACAAACAAATGTATTGTTTCACCCTTGTGTCAGACCCATACTGTTAATATTAAATATGAAAATATCTGTTCTCTATATTATTCTCTCTTTGAATTTCTCTCACTGTCTTGAATAACTATTTAAAATCCATCCACTTTCTTTTACCCCTGAAGTGACAGTGACCTTGAGAAACTCAGGACTGACGCTCAGAAAACATGTCAGCCCGCACAAAATCATGTTGAGTCAACGGAGGATCTGCAGGAGCCCGACACACTGCAAGCTGTTACTCAAGACGACTAACGCCTTTAAATGAAGTAAACGGACAGATGAGCTATTAAATGAAGAATGATCTAGTTTAGCTTTAAACATATTAATAGGAAATTAAAAAAGAAAAAGTGTAAATGAGCTCTCACACTCATGACCACACAGTGGATGATCTTGCAAGAAAATATAGCACTCCCTTTAAAAAGCATGAGTGTATCTGGCTGTTGATTGTAACTGCAAATTTGCACATTTGTAAACAGGCCTGTCTGGTCATTTATATCTTCCTTTGTATGTTGATGTGTGCTGATTGCACTGTATGTATACAAAACTAGTAAAGAGGGCTAATGCATGCACTACATACTTGAGTTTACACTGAGCTTAGCTTGATTTCAGGAATGTAGGCCAAGAAATATGATTATTGCAGTGTTTCAAATAAAGAACTCGAAACCAGTGTTATTTTATTATAATCAATAATTCGTTTTTAAATAAGCTTTTATTTATTTTTATTTTTAATTTGTTGAATTTTGTTATTAATTTTGTCATGTTTACGTTGTCATTTTTATTGGTTTTTGTTTATTCAAAATGACTATTTAGGAATAATTTATTTTTATTTCATCTTTCTTTCAGTTAGTAATTTTAATGCTTCAACTTAAACTTATTTCAGTTAGTTAGAGTCAGCAAAGTCCATTTTTAAAAAAAAAACAAAAATCGAGTTAAAGTTTTCTGAAGGTTCCAAAAGAAAATCACCTATAGCAACCATACCTTAAAATGGGAGTGCACGGGGCTGGTGTCCTCCTTCGCTGGCAGGCGTGCGCCTTCACCTGCTCGACGCTCAGGCATGGCGTGGAAGAAGACGCTGAGCACGATTTCGTCATGTGTGTAAGGCACGCCAGATCTAAAAAGTCCTGGGTATGATCCCCCTGCAAACGGTCCATCTGCTCCAGGTATAACAGTCTTACTTCAGGCAGATCCATTGTGAAGGGGAAATTAAAACACAAAAATTCAAAATCACAAAAAAACTAAAAACGGCGCACACAATCTTTTCTAGGATTCTGTAACGTCTAAATCCAAGGAAGAGGGTGAAGGCAGACATTAAAACGTTTAATTTGCATCTCCTCGTTCAGTTTAACACATTTGTCTATCCTTTAATCCAACTGATCTTAATATTTAATCGATGAATCATTTGGTACATCTAGGTTTCTATAGATTCTAGAGAACTGGATTGCAATTTCTGAAATGGTTAAAGAATGCTCGAAGTGCATGTGTGAGAGATCTAATCTCTAGGATTATCTGAGAAAACATACATACAAAAGAAAAATATAAAACACTAAACTGCTTTATCAGAGATGCCTCACGGTGCAATTATGATATAGCTCTCCATGGCTCCAGGCAGTGCCGCTGCTAGCCATTTTGGTGCCCTAAGCATAATTCCTTTATGATGCCCCCCGCCCCCCCTAAAAAAAAACATTTTCATTTAGCATTTTCATTTAGGGGGGCTAAGCCCCCAATGAGGGTATGATTTATAAAAAAATTAAAAAGCTAAAAAGTAACACTTTAGATTAGGGTCTAATGCTTACTATTAACTAGTTTCATTACCATGCAATGGCATGGTTTTATAATCACTGGGATCCCGAATTTGAGGCAGGTTAGTTAGGGGTGTTCGGGGGAAATTTTGGATTTTTCTGAACTACAGATGTGCATTTTAAGATGTTGTGAAGGCAAAAAAAAAAAAAAAAAAAAAAATTCGATAACAACAGCTTTAAAACCATGTCAGTGGGCAGCTGATTATTTTTCTCTCCTCATCAGCATCACACTCTTTTTCTCTTTGTTTTTATCTTGCCCTGTCTCTTCCCCTCCTAAAGTTGGCTTTTTTAATTTACTAAAGGTTACAATTTGTATTTTATTCTCAATATGTACACATTCATTATAAATCCTGTGCCTAACATGATGAAAACGGCTTTGTTCATGTTTCTTGTCCCCTCACAATGACAGTAGCCTAAACTATTACACTAGGCTACATGTTACATAGGCCTATTTTCAGTTCAAAATGGCGAAATTAGACAAAACTATATTAGTTTGCCTAATTATTTTTTGTCATTCGTTTAACATTTATGACCTAAAAAAAACTGTCAAATAAAGTTGTTTAGCTACTTACATCTTATCTCGCACTTGACCGTACACTGAAGCGTAGAGTTGCACTGTTAAAATTCGCGCTCAGCGTCTGTGAACATAAAGCCCGCCTACTTTGATTTGATTGGTCATCTCAAATATTCTGACATTGACGAGCAGTGACAGACCAATGAGGCTCAGAAGAACACACACATGAACACACACACACACCCTGTCCTGTGTTTCTGACGTGCTCTCTGTCTCTGCTCGGCGCCGCTGCGGAATGAAGAGGAAGAACGCGCTGAATCTGATTATAACAAAAAGTTTGATGATTGGTTTTTCATTAGGCTATTTTTGGTGCCCCCTCAGCACTTGGTGCCCTACGCACAGCGCGTGATGCGCGTGGTGGGAGCGGCGGCGCTGGCTCCAGGTTCTTTTACTGTGGTGAAACAACTCTCACAGTAGCTCACCAAAGGACACACTGATATGTAAAGGGAATGCTCTGGCATGAGAGAACCAGCGAGCCTGATTGCGTAAAGTCAAATATTCAGTCAATTTAGCATGACGGCATTTATGTTTCATGCCAATTGATCTTAACTCTTTCTGACAGATGAATGAAAATCTCAGCGTTTATCAATGTTTTTCTCTCTCAAAATTGGCTAGGATGGAAAAGACAAAAGCAACTTCTCTAACCACGTCTTCACATATTCAGTCATGAATTTATATTCACCTATTCTAAATATGTTGTCCAGTAATGTTTCTGTAACGTGGCTTTCTGTGAATGCTCATGCGTACAGAGAGTGACGCATGTGTCTGCTCATGCTGGAAGGGTTCACCTGAAAACAGTGACCCGCTCAAGAGTTTTGAACTTCAGCTGTTGTGACAAGAAAAACGGTTTCAGTTTCTCTGACAGATACTTACTCCAGTGTGAGAAAATTAGAGAGGACCAGCACTAGAGGTATGAGGCTCTAGGCGGTAGAAAGAGTCAGTTTTTTTGTTCATTTGTCACACAATGTCTGAACTTTATTACATTACAAAATATCAAATCAATTGGAATCTACAAACAAATGATGCTAGAGCTTTTCTCAGAGCTAACATACTGATCTCAAGGTGATTTTTAGTGAATTTGGGTTTGGTTATAACATATCTATTGTTTTCTAATCTGAAACAAACATTTTTAGGAAATTATTAACTTGAAAAGTATACAAAATGTAAACAAAAGCAGATTTAGTTACAGTACCATTTCATTTGTCTCTAATTCTGCTCTAGTCATAGTTTGTGTTTGTTTTGGGAGATCCTCCTGTTGACCAAAGCCTTCATGTTGTGTGTGAACACCATGCCCTGATGTCATGTTTTTCCCACATTGTACTTCTTCATCTTCATCAGATTGCTATACTTACCGCATGCGGTGCATCAGTACGAAGACATCTCTGTAGGAAGGCAGGTTGACGGTACACTGGACTGGCACTGCCAAACGTGTTGAGTAGTTCTGTGCAAAGGAACAAGAAACATTTCTCTCACAAAAGACAAGCGTACTGTTGAAACCCAGCTGATTGTGGTGGAAATCTGACATGCGTTAGAGCTGCATTACAAAACTCCCCACCTCAGACGAGAATCTTTGTCTGTGATAACATGCAAACACTATAAGCCTGTGCAGAAAGGGTTTTACCAGTCGTGATGTTCGTGAGAGGTGGAGAGGGATCCCTCTGTGGCCTGAGTGTGTGCCACATTCTGAGAAGGGATACAATGACTTCTACCTGATGGAAAAAAAGACTCTTAATATCATTCCTGTATAGCTAGCCCACAAAGAGCATAGCAAGCCCACAGTCAGGGGTTTGATTCCCAGGGAATGCATGAGCTGAACAAATTATATGTAGAACACCTTGGATAAAAGACTTAGGCCCAGTGTTTTTTTGTGCAATATCCAAAAATGTGCATAAAAAATAGGTGGTTGGAAACTAGCTATAAGTGGTTTCATATAGGCCTAGTGCATGTAACTAAAAGAGATCACAGATTTGTGACTTTACATTAGTAACAACTGTAGTAGTAAATTTGCCATTTTAGATAGGCTGCATGTTTTGTTTTTGTTTTTTAAGAGTATTTATAAATGATATTATAAATTACATATTAATTGAAACGTAACAAGTTCAAAAAGGTCCTAAAATGCGTCTCTGATCCTCAGTGTCAGCTGAAGGTTATGATGTAAGTAAGTGACCGCTGTGATCCTCAAGGCGGGCGCGGCCCCGGCTGCACCGTGCGCGTGCACGTCACCAGTAGACGGTTATGCGGTGCAGAAATCAAGGTGGAGAAACAGCGCTGACTGAGCCGGGAAATCGGAAGTGACTTTCAGCGGAGACCCATCTCATTCGGTTTTAGTTTTTTACTTAGTTGTGAGATCTGCCAGACGAGGAACCTTTCATATAAGAAGGTAAGGATAATCCATATTTGTTGCTGGCTGCGCTATGGTGAAAGTGAGTCGGTTAAAGTGTGTATGTGGCTGCGAAATTTGCGCCGCCTGCCTGCCTGACTCAAAATGGCGGACAGGCCGTTAGAGCAAAATAAGGGTGGGAATATCAGAGAGAGTGCAATATAAACTAACTCCGGCAATGTCATAACTTGCATACAAACGTGGATACATAACCAATACTTGCATTTAATCCTCACTTAATTAAATTAAGCCTCTTACCTGACGGGGCATTTGTGACAGCCGGCCTTTAGTGGTTTGACCCATACTAATGTTAGCTAGTTCATGTTAGCATCATCTCAGCAATAAATTCACTGAATAAGTCATAACTGCTAGTGGCATTTGTATTTCTGCGTATCAAATCCTCTTTCCCTCTAATGTAGTTCCATAAAGGCGTTAAAGTTTTATTTAACTGGCTGGTGTGAGTGATATTTGGGATTGGGTGTGCCTATGATGGTTGAAGGCCGGAGATTCATCACATCGATGCCGGTGCATAACTGTACGGTTCGCTGCTGTTATAATAATATACTGTTCTGTCTGTCAACAAGGCTATGTAGGATGTGTTATTATGTGTTTGCTAATTAATAGCCGAGCCGTTCATGATTATAGTTGGCAAACAAATTGTCAACGTTGCCTGTCTGGCTGCCATCATGTTTTGATTCGGTGTTCAAGATGGAATGTTTTTGGAATATACAAGAATATTAATGTTATTGGGATCCCTCGGACTCTTAATGGACAGACATGACAAACTTACATTTTGGCTAACGTTAAATCAGCACCAGCTCAAGAATCATGATATGTAGAGGTGTGAGCGCTTTGCCTTGCCCTAACACTTGATATATGTACACACACACACCTTAGTTAGATTATTCAGCTGTCATCACTCTCTTCTACCACGTGGGTGTTGCCTTTCTGTTGCTAATGATTATTTATCCGGCCTAATAAAATTTTAGGCTACTTGGCCTGAGCTTGCCTTGCATCTGACGTCATTCAGTGTGACGTCTTCATTGCAATTTAATTCTGTGGTTTTTTTTTGTTTTTTGTTCTTCGTTTTTAGCCTTTAGCAGTGAAAATGACTCAACTGACACAATTCTTGAGCTCATTTCATGGAAACAAAATCATAGATTATACACTTCACAGGCTTTCCCCATGAATGCATCCAATATATTCCAATATGTTTGGTGTTCTTGTAAATTAACAAATATTTGGCATGATAATTTGGTCCTATTTTTTCCTGTTCAGATAATTGTGGGGGGGAAATGGGTAACTCTTTGACAGGAGGTGGTGCTTGGAAAAGCAGAGATACAGTGGTGTAATATGCTATTTGCTTATAGAAATGCTCATGGACTTTATTTGTATATTTTCTTTTTTATTAACATGATTATGATAGTCTCTGTGTTTGATTTGATGGCTCTTGTGTTATGTTTAATAAACGCATAATTATGTGTTCATTGTTTAAATAGGCTAGTTCCAATAAAATAAAATGGGGCAGTGGTGTGCAACTTTCCATTTCTGAAACCCATGTCACTGAGAAGAAACAAAGTCAAACAGTGTTATGTCTTCAATCATGATTGCTACCAATTCGTAGTTTATGTAACCGCAGCAGCCACAGGCTGATGACCAAAAAACACAAATCTTATTGTTTCGCTGCCTTTTTTTTCTTTTTTTTTCAGTGCGATGGAATTGAAAAGATATTAACATCTATCCGTAATAAAATTTTGTTATTGACGGCATGCAAATGTTTATAACTCATTCAAATTCAAGTGGTTGTCACAGAACATTAGTCTTGGTGTGAGTTTGTGGGCCTTTAGGCTGTGTGGCCTTAATCCACTAAACTTTAGGACATTATGTTATGTTAACATGCTCATCAAATTTCTTTTTAAGGTCTGTATTCGGGTTACAGCCACGTTCCAAATATGATGTTTTATATACTGGAATCGGAATAGGCCTATTCATTTATGCACTGCTGTGGTATCCCGATCTACACATGTGCTGTTCTGCTTTGCACTGTTATTTCCCTTGAGAATCAGGATGATGTCATTGGTTACAGAGTATGCTCAGTTTTATTTGTACTTTTTTCACATTAATTTAATTAGGATTAACAAACACCCCTTCAAAAAGGCCCGACAACACTGACATGAAATGGTTAATCGTTAATATACAAATGCAGTTGTGTGCTGGTAACTTGGCCGCAAAAGAGATAAAACAACAAAAGAACCACTAAGTTCTACAGATGGTAATGGCACCTGATTTGGTGGCGCTGAGGGGGGAATCATAAAGGCAATTTAATCATACAATTACTATTGTTTTTGATTAATAAGTGAAGTTACTAATAATATTACATGTTTATTTCTTGGAAATGCATATTTGATTGTAAAGCACTGAGCTTGGGATTAGATTCAGATAAAAATTAACTTTTAACAACAACCTCATTTTATTGTTCTTCTGTAGAATCACACTGAATTGACCAACAACTTCAGTGATTATTAAAGGAGCGTTCTTTACTTGCTTTCTGTGCAATTTTAAGTTTTTGTTTTTCCAGAAACTTTGGGACCTTTTTGGGACCAGTACAAAAAGTGTCAAACTTTGACACAAGTTAAAGGTACAATAAGATTTTTGTAATAAAATATCCAAAAATCACTTGCACAGTGTGATATATTTCCTGCAGTTGTGTACTTACAATATCCCAAAAGTTCCCAAAGATTTTTAATTTCAGAGAAATTCCAATTTTAAATAATGGCTCGTCCCTGGTCACTGTCGCCTGTCAATGACGTAATATCCGCATTATCCCTGGTGGTTTCCACTCGTACTGCCATGGTAACCATGGTGACAGATGTGGACAACTGCGTTACGTCTAGCGGCACGCTCACGCTGTTGTTTCGTTCAAACATTATGGACCATTGGTGGACGGCACTGATCCTCAACAACTCGTCTTAATACCGGCGTGATTACTTGGACTTCCAAAAGATGGAAATGGATAAATACTCTAAATGTTCCGATCCAATCTGACTTGTAATGCTGCCCGAATCATGCACTGTTCCTTCGTTGGCCAGAGGAGAACTGGCCCCCCGACTGAGTCTGGTTTCTCCCAAGGTTTTTTTCTCCATTCTGTCACCTGATGGAGTTTTGGTTCCTTGCCACTGTTGCCTTGGCTTTTGGCTTGCTTAGTTGGGGACATTTAATATTCAATAATGTTATTGATCTGCCTTACTTAAGGTGGACGCTGACGCAATTTTCTTTTAGAAACAAACTTTGTTATATTGTTTTCATGTTATGTTATCACTGTGAAGCGCTTTGATACAATCTGTATTGTAAAAAGCGCTATATAAATTAAGGTGACTTGACTTGACTTGACCATGGCAAGCAGACTTTGGGACAAAAGGAGAACTAAAACAAGGATCAATATCAGATATCAAATAACATTGTAACTTTCAACACACTCAAAGGCAGTTTAGTGTGATCGTGCAGACTAAGTGGAACAGCGCTGTTACCTCACAAGTTTCATTCGTCTAATAAACTGACCTGTGTGAGTAGTAATTCTGCACTTGCGGGTAGAATGAAATGTCCTTATTCCTTTTTATCCGCGGGACTCGGGTGTGGCGCTGATATCTGTCTCTCATTAGCAATCTCGCCCTGCTTCATACCACAGTCATGATAAAAACATCAATGTATTCATTCACTCATCCATAAACATTATTAGATCCATCAGCATAACGACAAGTTCCATTATTCCGCTCATGCGTCATCAACCTACGCCTTTGTTATTGTAAGAGGTTAGCGACCCCTAGCAGCGAAAAAAATTACATATTGTAGCTTTAAGCAAAATGTGTGAAAAAAAATATATTAGGGAATAGGGAGTGGAAATTAGGGGTGGGGGAAAAAATCGATTCTTAGATGCTAGGGGTGTAACGATATTCGAACCGAACCAAAAAACCGCGATACAGAACACACGATTCGAATCGCGATACTCTCATTGCAAACCGAACACGCCCCGCCCCGCCCCCTGCTAATCCCGGCCCCGCCCAGCCCAGCCCGGCTCAATGGACCTCATGTCTTGTGTACAGTACACAACGAATTCAGTTTTGTAGCCTAACCACCATTAACACCAAATAACAAGCTCCGTGTTTTGTTACTTTCGATAATAAGCAAGGTGTAATCTTTCAAATTCTGTCTATTTGATCACGAAATTCAAACAATAAATGGCGTTTTGGCGCTCTTTGATGTGGCGTGACAGATCGCTGTATGCCTACTAAGCTCCTCATTTCAAGCGGCAGCGCGGCGCGCGGGTAAACGCGATCATCTCTTCCTCAGTTACAGAATGGACACCTGAAGGTATGTTGAAAGATGCAGTATACTCACTGAAAGGCATCATAACTCGTGTAATCGCTCAATCAGTGTTTCAGCAGCGGAAAGACGTCAATAAAACAGCATAGCTTGTCACTAGCATTATATTTACCTCAACAGGCAAGTGATTCAGTGTCCACAACTTTGGTTCCTATAAATTAACTCTTGCACTAAATAAATGCACCATGTTAGCCTATATATTATATTTTACTTAACCTGTTAATGATATCTTGATTATTTAATGTATGTTTAAAATATCTTTCATGAAAATGACAACTGTGTAAAGTATTATATTTCAATAACAAATTAGAGTAAAAACACAAGTTAATGCAAAAACTGCCTTATGTTCAGTTTACATGTTTTCATACAATGTGTTGTGTGTTGATTATTATATCTAAAAAATAAATAGCATCTGCATTTAGGTTAAAACTCTAGGCTACAACCTTTAATGTTATAGTAATTAGCAGATGTTTTTTAATCCTTGTGAAACGTTTAATTGTAATTGAATTAATTTAAAGACAAAGATAATTTTTTCGTTAAACCACTGTTTAAAAAAAAAAAGAAAAAAAAAAAGCAATTTTAGCTTTCTAAACCGAACCGAATCGAACCGAACCGAGACG